GTGGGACATGGGACAGTGGGACACGGGGACAGCGGGACACGGGGACCACGGGACATGGAGGATGGCAGGACACGGGGGGAAATGGGGGGATGGGAGGACGGGGGGGAACAGCGGGACACGGGGTGGGGGGTGGTGGGCCTGGCAGGCACGGCAGGGAGGCCAGCAGGATCACGGCCCTGGTCCCCGACTCAGAGCAGGCTTCTGGCCACGCTCACCTTGGCGCCCGCCACGTGGCTCCAGCAGCAGGGCTGTCATGCACTCCCAGTTCCGGACCAGGGCGGGCGCTGCCTCCCACAGGCCGTCCACCAGGTACGGGACATGTCTGTGGAACTGACAGGGACGTGCCGGACATGTGAGGTAAGGATGAGAAAGGACACGCGATGACACGGGACGGGGAAGACACGGGACGACGGGGCGGGGAGGGCACGGGACGACGACACGGGGCGGAGAGGACATGGGATGACGACACGGGGCGGGGAGGTCAGGTAATGACACAGGCAGGGAGGGCCCCCTTCCCAACCCTCCCACGTGTGGACACGTAAAGACACACGAGGACACCAACCCAGGGACGCGACTCCCACGTGCCCAAAGCAAGTGTTGTGCACACAGCAACCGAGCCCCTTTCCAGCCCAACGTGGGATGCGGGCATGGGACATAGGACATGGCATGGAACATGGGGTGCAGGGCACGGGACACGAGTCCAGGTCCCTCACGTGGCTCGGACATCCTGTCCCCGGGCCCCACACGGCCACGCCCTCACCTCGCCCTGCAGGTAGAAGTCGATTAGCGTCTTCATGTTCTGCAGATTTCTATCAAACTCATCAGGGGGCTCTTGACCAAAGAAACCTTCATGGGGCGGAGGGGCCAGGAGCCTAAGGAGATCAGAGAAAGTGACCCCGACGTTGGCCGGGGTGGGGCGAGGGGGCCGTGCTCCTGGCCGGGCGCCCGGGTCCTGGGGGGTTGGGCCGACCCACACTCCAGCACGCATGTCTGCACACACTCGCCACACAGAGACCGGGGGCGCAGGAATACCAGGAAGCCATGGGGGCACGAAACAGACCGCGGAGGAAAGTTCCAGAACTGACTTCTGTCTGTCCGAGCCGACTGTCAGCCCGGGCCAGCACTGGGGAGGGAACCAACCACCAGACTGTCCCCAGTCGCTGCACCTCAAACCCCCAGAGAAGCCGAGAATGGGGAACTTGACCCGAACGTTAGTGAGGGCAAGACAGCCAGATGGCCCAGGAGGGGCCCTCAGGAGCACAGGGCTTCAAGGGGCCTCAGGGGCCCTCAGGAGACCCTCAGGGGGCCTCGGGGGGGGGGGGGGCTCAGGGACATGGGGCTTCGGAGGACCTCAGGGGGCTTCAGAGGACCTCAGGAGCAGGGGGCTTCATGGGGCCTCAGGGGCCCTCAGGAGACCCTCAAGGGGGCCTCAGGGGACCTCGGGGGCAGGGGGCTTCAGAGGACCTGAGAGGGCCTTAGGTGGCGCTCATGTCCATCCTGTTCTGTCCCTCAGGGCCCAACACCTGCCGACCCCCTGGTCATGTGCCCTGCCGTTCTTGGGGGTCCTGGGGCCTCCTCCCACCCCCCATCCTCCATGTGCACATCTGCAGCTGGTGGGATGTGGGACACGGGACATGGAACCCCACCTCCAACATCACAGTGACATCACAGCCCTGGAGACCCCATCGGGGCCCCAGGGTGGCCAGGCACCCACCTTACCTCTTACAGATGAGCTCGCCCGCGGCTGTGGCCATGGGCCTGTAGGCTGCGTACACAAACTGGAACAGGAAGACGTACTCCATGGCGGAGAACACGCCCACGTAGTGCCTGGGGGGAGACACTTGTGAGCCCAGGGCCCCTGCGCACGGGGCTCTGCCACACGGACCTGTGCACACGGGGCTCTGCCACACACGCCTGTCCCCGAGAGCAAACTGAGGTTCTCTGTTGGGCCAATGGCCCCAACCTCGGCTTCCCCTAGATGTGGCCTAATCTGGAATTCCGACCAGTCTGAGCTCACCCAGGGCAGCCCACAACCCAGGATGTGAGCTGAGGCCACATGAGAAGATGCCACATGAGCTGAGGCCAGGTGAGCAGGATCCCAGGAAGGCCTGCCCTCCACAGCGCCTCCGGCGTTAGAGTTGGTTCCTTCCCCTCTAAGCCGCCTGTGAGCCCCAAATTAGGGGAAAAGCTCTCCGTCCTCTCCCGTGTGTGCACCTGGGGCACCTGTCAGCCCAACTCTGCCCAACCCTCCACCCCCCCCAGGAGCGGCACTCCTGACTGCAAGCAGGTGGCCATGCAGGGGCACACACGGAGGGGCAGCAGATGTCCACGGGCACCCATGGTGGGAGCGTTTGGGGCATTTGGGTGAGGGACACCACTGGCAGCGTGTGGAGGGACATCACCAGCGTGAGACCCTTTGTCCAAATGCATCCACTGAACCCACGTGTGACACAGCATTCACCACATCACAAGTGGAGCAACCTGCCAACGTGGCCACGTGGGCATTCCCAAAACCAGCAGAAACCAGGGCAGGCGGCCTACACGCCACAGCGCCTGGGGTTCGAATGAAGGTGGGAGACCCCCAAGGACGTGGGGAGGCCCCAGACAAGGGAGTGGGACACCTGCATTCACCCTCGGGCACTGCACACAGCAAGGAGCGTGTTCGGCAGGTCCACGTCAGCCCTGTCCAAGCCTCAAGCCCCAAAGCCACATGGTTCTGAGCCCACCTGGGGACTCAGGCCAGGGTGTGGCCCCAGGACCTGGCGCTTTGCCGCACAAGGGCCCACGAGGTGCTGGCACAGCTGTAGCCCGAAGGCGTGGGAGCAGGATGGCCACGGGGATGGGTTAGGGTTAGCCCGGCGGACACACCCTTCCTCCCCTTCTTGTCACGTAGGCCCTCAACGGATTAGAGAGGGCCCACCACACCAGGCAGGACGATCTGCTGGGCCCGCGTGTGAATCTATGCAGGGAACTCCTCACGGACTCTGCGGAATCATGGGTAAGCTGCGCCCTGCCCCCACGGTGAGCAGTCAGGTTGACACAAGGCTTCCACTGTCGTCACTCCCTTACGTGCGTGGGCAGCTGCCGACCTCCGACCCGTCGCAGACCCTCAGCGACGGGAGGGAGCCACTCACACGCTGGACAGCTTAAGCCCAGGAGCCTGCTCCACGGGCCCCACGGCCACCTGCCACGGTCCAGGCCCATCCACTCGGCCGCCCATGAGCCTCACCGTGGGCGGCAGCCAGCTCGCAGACACACGTCCTGGGACATCCCCACCTCCGTTATCCTCAGCCAATGCCCATAACGGGCCTGCTTCTAGATGCACGTGTCCACACGCCTCCTGTTGGCTCCGTCTCTCTGGAGGGCCCCGACGGACACAGCGGCCATGGGAACACCAGCGAACAGGACATGCAGCTACCCTGGGCCACCCAGCCTGCACAGGGCAGGAGGCAGAGGCCACGACCCCAGGCTGGAGGGGCCCCCCCCCCCACAGCCAGGCCCACAGCGCCCGTGAAAGACACAGCATCTGTAGGACACAGACCTCAGACAGGGCCACTCAGAGCCCAGGCACGGGAGACAAGAGCAAAGCCACCTCAGAACACGGTCTGAGCACAGCAGAGACTCCGCGTGGGCGTGAGACACCCTGTGGTCGCGCCACCACATCCACGGCGACCCTGCAGCCCGGGACCCAAATCCTCCATCCGGTTCTTCCAGCACCTTCTCACTCCATGTGCGTGCACACTCCCTCCTGCCACCAACTCCAGGTGCATCCCGGGCTCTGCAGGGGCAGGCAGCAGCTGGAGGACTAGATGGGGACCTCACGTCCCTGCCAGGTGTCTTGTACTCATGTGTCAGGAGCCACACAGGTAAGAGCTTCTCTGTGCTGCTGTCGGTGGGCTCATGGCCGCGAGTGCAGCCTGCACTGTGCTTGGGACAGTGGTGGGCAGCAAGGCCCCAGCAGACACGCATTCCCGCACCCGGTCCCCAACCCGGGTTGCGGTGCCCGTCTGCACTCTGCTCTGTCCAGACGGTTCCATTGTATAATACGTCAACTTATCACCCACCCACTGCTCCTGGGTGTGGGCATCGGGCCAGCTGGCAGCAGCACCGGCCACTCACGGGACCACAGCACAGCACGGACGAAGCCCGGAGCCTGGACCCCCGCTGCGACAGTGTCCATCTGGGCTGCGCCAGATGCAGAGCCGTGAGATGGTCCAACGCCCACCTGGGCCCGCTCTGTCCCCAGCACGGGGCAGACAGATGGCACCACGGGGAGGCACCCAGCCTTTGGGTACAAGACGTCCCCACAGCACCCTCCCCGGTGTCTACGCACAGGGGCCGAGCCGGAGGTCGTGTCCCCGTGCCCCCTGTTCCAGCACTGCCTCGCGTCAATGCCTGACACCTGACTCACTGAGCAAGGAGGCTGCGTCCTGCACGGGGCACGTCCAGGGGAACAAGAGCCCCACGTCCCAGCCTAAGTGCTACTTGGGACCCTGGAGCTTCCAGAACGTTCTGCAGGCCCAGCCAATCGTAGCCACCCCGACACCAGCCCCTCGGAGCCCCTGACACAGGGCCAGCAGCGGACAGGAGGGGCCAGGACCCCAGAGAGAACCCCCAAACCCCTGAGTGCCAGGCCCTCTCAGGTGACCCAACGAGCCCCTGCGGTGGATCGCAAGCCAGGATGTTGGTGGCAGAGTTCTGAAACCCAGCAGGAGCGCAAGCCCAGAGTGGACGCTTGGCGTGTCTTACTTAGCCGAACACGCGCCTTTGCCCGCATGACCACGCATCCCCACTGTCCGCCTCCATCCCGTGTGGTGGCTGCACGCCCCCTCCTGCCCTCAGCCGGCGGACGCGTGCATGGGCGTGAGTACTTACACCCGGCGGGCCCGCGGCACGGGCACGGGGACCTCCCGCCGGCGAGGACACCGCACAGGTGTGAGCACTTACAGCCAG